ACACATTCCAAATCCTGGGGACACCAGTAGTGTGGCTTCCCAGTGAGTGCCTGAGAGTCATCTGTTCTTGCTCATTGCTAAAGCTGCCTGAATGCTGAGGAGAGATTTTATTGGTGGCCTCTTCCTGACATCAGAACACACTCTGTGACTTGCCAAGGTAGCTGTCGGTATGGTAATGTGCAATTGTTCTGGCCTCTCCTGCTCAGGGGTGAAACTTGCATGGTCATAATGAGGCAGAGTAGCCTTTTTCCATCTTCCCAAACTGGAAATCAAATACAGTTAATGTATAACAGTCTGGTAGCTGGGTATGTCCATGGCCTTGAACATGCAGCTGTGGTTGTGACTCTGTATTCGGAAGTCTAAGGGGAATATATATCTCTCCTGTGATTACTCTATTTAGAGATTTCATTGTATCTGAACTCTGTGGGACTACTGGTCCCTGTGCGTCTCTATCCACAGTCCATATGGCACCAAGTGGGGAAACTAAACATCTTGTAAATGTATCATCCATAGAGAAGACAATGCAACTGGCAGGGCCCTGGTGGAGAAGCTTGCTGGATACCATCATGAAGTGCCATCTTTACCTTCCTCCCTAGAAACCTCTCTTCACGGCCTATGGATTGGACCACTTAAAGTAGAAAAACATTGTTTTTAGTCAGCTGATCATTCCTAACCAGGCGTCACCTGAAGAATATACTCAAAGTTCAGAAAAAAAGGCAACATACATTCTCCCCCACTGTTTTCACAGAAAGCATTGCCATGCACTAAAATGGAGTCTGTTCCCTGCCCTGCTTGGCACCCATCTGGGTAAAGGACAGGCCCTGTGCATATGTTAGTGGGAGGACTGTTGTGGTTCAGTGAGGAATAAGTCCACTATGTCCTACCCTGGGTCAAGTTCTTGCACCATGAAATACTTGGAGCCAGCTGGCATCATGACACTGTCCCTCCACCAAACTGGAGCAAGTGTTTCTATAGGGCAACAACAGGCCACAGCATATCCTGATGTGAGGGGTAGGGGATTGTTATAAAAAAGGGAAAAAATACTTTTGTATAGAGCAAAAGACACCCTGTGTGTATTTATAATTTGTCCCTAACCATTGAGGTTTTCGTTAATATATCCTTTGTTTCACTCCAGAAAAAGGTCAAATTCTTGACAGAAGCAGTTTCCCAATATCAGTCAGTACTCAGTAATTTGTTAGCAACAGGAGGGGGATATACCCTGGTACTTAAATCAAATGCTCTGGTGGGCAGAAACCAATAACAACCAGCAGCTCAAAATATCCTATTTTAAATATATAAATTATATAAAATATAATTATATAACATTATATATATTATGTTAAAATATTTATATAAAATATACTCTTAATCAAAATGATCAAGAAACAGGCAATGAAATCAAATGGTGCCTGCTGCATCAGATTCTCGTTTCTTTGGGAAGACAGGGCTGATGGTTCTGTAGGAAACAATCATTTGGGAGTTCTTAATTCTATTTTGCTTTGGAGCTCCCAGGTTTAGATTCAGTGTCACAGAGCTGTACCAGTCCTGGTGCTTAGTATGCTGGATAGTCTTGATTGGCACTTAGCATCCTTTTCCACCTCCCTCTGTGTCCCCTCCGGTGCTGCAGAAACTGGAAAGCTAAAATGCCATGGCCAAGATTTGGAAGGCAGAAGAGAGGTGGGGGGTCATCTTCCTGCTGCTTGGTGCTGATGGCAAGCACAGCAGTAGAAGTGGGAGGAGTTTCTGCAGCAGGTTTCCAGGGTACCAATCACTGACCTCGTGGGGGTTGAGAGGCTGTTTCGGAGGCAGCCATGGAGGTGGTGGTTACTTCTTGATCTCTGGCTTGCAGCCACAGCAGTGTGCTGTTGAACTCAACAGGGACAGTGGGGGCCTCCTGACTTCTCCCCTTCCTGATTGCAGCAAAGACAGCAGCTTTGCGGGGGACAGTTTGGGGTCATTCCACAGGGTCCACTTCTCTAGGCTTCCCAGAAATTGGTACCGCTAATTATTTGCATGAATCCTTTTCTTTTTAAATTAGCCAGGGTGGTTTCTGCTTCCAACTACTAAACCCTGAATGATATATTGAGGCTCAGGGCATTTAATACTAAAGGTTTTGTTGGTCTGAGTGAAGATAATGGGCCCCACAATAGACTAGACAAATCTAGGGATCATTAGAATATCCCCTATGCCCAGTTGCCAAGGACACCCCCTATTTAGACCACCCCAAAAAGCTCCTTTAATTTATCAGTCTAGAATGTTACTAAGTCATCCAGCACAGTGTGTATGTGCTACAGACATAACCTTTGACACCTTAAATTTGGATCCTAGATGCAGGAAATCTGGAATTAATACCACAGGGTGGGCTTCATGTATGGTTATAATTAAAACTAAGGTACCAGCGAGATCACTTCCAGATTAGAAGATATGAAAGGCTGAGGCTGGAGATGCTTGGTGCTCCTTATTGCTGAAGATCTCCCACTGCCATGAGGACCAAACATCCGTGAGACCCAAGCAGGCCGTTTGGAACTAGATGGTGAGGAGAGCCACACAGAGCGTAAAGATGTAACTGCTGCTGTCCCTGTCTGGGTACTTGGCTTTGCAAGGGAAAAGTAAAGTATTTTTCTTTGATGGACAGTGCCGTGGTGCTTGGTTGACATTTCATTGCCTAAATTATTATCTTTAGAGTGAGCTGCAGTTTAGTCTTTGACAAGCTCTGAAATACATTCTACACCAGCCTTCTCCATCTCTCCCATCACCCTAACATCAGCATCTTTTGCTGGGACCTATCACATCCTATCTCTCCCGTGCTTAAAATTCCTCAAAGGTATCTCATTTCACTTAAAAAAAAATCTAACTTCCTTAACTTGGCCTACAAACCCCAATGTCCCCTTTCTTTTCATTCACATTTCCTGTCACCTGGACAAGCTACGTAATCTGTGAGACCCAGTACAAAATGAAAACTCAGGTCTCCTTGTCCAGAAATTATGAAGAATTGCAAGAGGGCAAGAGCAGAGCATTAGACTAAGCGTGGGGCCTTTCTGAGTTTAGGGCTTCATGTGGCTGCACAGATGGCACACCCCTTAAGCTGGTCTGCCTGTCATCCATGCCCTCACCCCATTGGCCATCCTCCTGCTTCTTAGATACATACCAATCTGTTTTAGAACCTTTGTAGTAGCTCTTCCTCTGTCTGGAATGCTCTTCTGTTTAATCTTAGCATGGCTCACTCCTTCTCATTAGGATATTAGCTGAGAAGCCACCATCTGAGCAAGACTATCGCTGACCCTCAATGTAACATAGCCATCAGCCACTCTGTTACATCACCATCCTGTTTTAATTATTTGCTATGCACGTCATCTATTCTCTATTTTTTTTTAGTTGTTTATTTCGTTATTGGCCATCTCTCCCTGTTATGGGTTGAATTTTGTGCCCTCCCACCCCTACCAGTTGATATGTTGAAGGCCTAACCCCTGGTACCTCAAATGTGAACTTACTTGAAAATAAGGTTGTTGCTAGTTGATTAATTAGGATGAAGTCATACTGGAGTAGAGTGAACCCCTAATCCAATATGACTAGTGTTCTTATAAAAAGAGGAAATCTAGACACTGAGACATATACAGGGAGAATGCTATCTGAACCTGAAGATGCCCATCTACAAGCTAAGGAGAGAGACCTGGAATAGATCCTTCCTTCATAGCATTCAGAAGGAACAAACCCAGCCCACACTCTGATTTTGGACTTCTAGCCTCCAGGATTATGAGATGATAAACTTCTGTTGTTTAAGCCATTTCACGGCACTTTGTTACAGCAGCCCTAGCAAACTAATACACTTCCCCATTAGAACTAGCTCGCTGACTCCTGTTTTGTCTTTGTAAGGGACCAAGGGTAGGCTGCCCCAAAATATGCCACTCTAGTATACTGATACCTTTAAATTAAAGCAACTGGAGAAATAGGTGGTGCAAGAAGGATATTCTGATCCTCCTCTGTCCCCACTGAAACCAGGAAATAAATCTTCCATATGAAAGGCACCCTCCCTGTTCCTGGAAGGTAGACATCCTTGTCACCAGAGACAGGGAATTCAGAGCCAAGAAGTCTATATACACAAATATTGTTACTTTTTTACTAATTACTACCCCCAGCCTAAATGCTGTTTAGAATTCCTTACTAATTGAAACTCCCAAACATAAGTTTTCTTTGTCCTGTCAATTCCTTACAAATTATGCCTCTTTGTCCAAAATGTATAAAAGCTGCATGCCCTGGTCATATCTTTGGGTCTCAAGTTTCATTACTGGGACTCCGTACCTATTTAAATTTTGTTCTTTCTCCTGTTAATGTGCCTCATGTCAACTTGATTCCTAGAGCAGTTAGAAGAACAGTGAAGTGGAAAGATTCGTCCTCCCTAGGATCTTGTTCAGACTTCCCAGAACGTGCGTGCATGGTTACTTAGTATCATATGCCGCTATTTAACTATTTTCACTTGTATAGATGAGCCTGAGAACCTTTTAAGGGAAGAGAGTGTTGCAGATGTTCAACAAAACCTGTTGAGTAGATTAAACCATTTCACTCATTTCAGGAATCTTTCGGGAGAGTGCGGGCAAGTAAAATGTGTGCGGACTCGGGGTCTTAGTCCTTATTCTCTATCTACATTAATATGCACAATGTGCGTTTAGCTCTCCGGACAAGAGACTTAATACTTACCCGGTCCCTCAAGTGGGACTCAGGAGATCGAATCGAGCTCCGTCCCGCCTTTTACAAAAGCTGGTTCTTGTCCCTTTTGGCATCTTGGTACTTGTAGTTTTGTCCACTATATCTTTTCTCGAAAAACGAACTCTGAGACCACAACTCCCATCACCCCGTGAGCACTGGAGCCTTTAGAGCGCATCCTCCGGAGGGGGCGCCGGGCCATTGACCAACCTGCTGGCCGGAGGGCCCGCCTTAATAAGCCCAGAAGGCCCAGTGATTGGTCAGCTGCCCCGCCTCTCACCGGGAGGGCGACAGGTGAATGAAAGAGGGGCGTGTCGGTGCTCGTAGAACGACGGCCGCGCGGCTGGAACCCGCTGGAAGGTGAGAACCAAGAAGCGGGTTCACGCCGCCGCTTTCTTTGGCTTGGGGAGGTTTCAGGGCACCAGCGAGGTCGGCGGGAGACAGCGGGCAGGGAAGGAGGCCAAAGATCGTGTCCAGTAACTGGCTCTCCCGCGGATCGGTGGGCCCTGGCTACTCCCGAGACCTCCGGCGGGCGAACCTGCTCTGGAGGACAGAACGCTACCTCCCCTCTAGCGTGGGGAGGGTGGCCCGGCGGCGGATGCCCCGCCTTCCCGGTCAGTGGGCTGCCCTCCCGCGTCGTCCAGCCGCTGGTCGGGGTTCTGGTTCATTCCGATGGTGCCGGGGCGCGAGGGCTCGGCCGGGCTGGGGCAATTCCCCCCGCAGTTTGTCCGCGGGAGGCCATGGGAGGGCTAAGGCTTCGTTTTCTCACCCTCGGAAGCCAAAGATCGTGTCCAGTAACTGGTTCCAGTAATATCCGCGGGGTCGTCTGGGTCTGCACGGGGGAAGATACTGCTTTTCACTCAGGAGCAGTTAATCAGGTGACCCAAAGATGCAGCTGACCCTGAAATTCTCTCCCGTGGAAAATGGAAACTCGTCTCCCGTGTCATTCCCCTCCACTTCATGCGTTGGGGAAGGGAGTGACTTCCCCTAACCTCATGGTGTCGTGGAGGATTTGGGGAGTCACGTTGGCATAGTGGTTAAGGATGTCTACTCTGGAATCAAACTGATCCAGTTTCAATCCTAGCTTCCCCGTGTTGGCTGTAAATTTGAATCTCAACTTCCTCTCCTGAAAAAGAGGATGAAATGATCCTATCTACTGCACTGGATTATTGTGAGGTTATAATTAATTAGTGCCTGTACAGTACTTTGTTCAGTGCTTCATGAGGAATAGTGCTCAGTAGTAGATGCCAACAACTGGTGGGCAGGTTTTCATTATTCTCATGTTGGTGAAACTGGAGGAGTCTTGTCAGAAAGTTGGTGGAATTCAAGGCTGCTTTTGGCACCAGAATGAACACAGTCTTGTGATCTGGCTAGAATTCCCTTAGGGGAATGTGGCCATTTGTTACAGGTGGTGGTGTTGGCATCTGCCCTCTCTTGGAGGACGTGTGCCTTTACTTGGTTCCTTTTTTTCTTTCTGCCATCTTTCTTGTGTCAGGCATTGTATGGCACCAGTAACTGTAGAATTAAATTGGAACCAAGGAAAGGTTGGGAGGGTCTCTGCCAGAATGTGAGTACATGTACTTCTGAGAAGAGTATACCCTAAGAGCTTCTTTTCTGGGAGAAGCGGTGCCCTCAACATGTTCCAGGGATGCAGAGCACCGAAGGCAAGTGGACCTGGTATGAATAAATATTTCCGCAGTGTACGCCAAGCACAGGAGTGGGGAAAGATTTATGGATAGATTTTTGCAACGTTAGGGAGTATTTATATGACCTAGTATAATCTAGAATATGTGAAAGATGGGAGTGCTCTGAAAGGAGGCCCTGAGGATAAGACCATTCCGCAATTAGGGAGTGTTGTGCCTACTTAGGTATTTCTCTCCTGGGTTTGCCAACTTCTTACCCTTTTGCCCCTCCTCCTTTTTAAAAAAATTAATAAAAACAATACATGCATGTAGTAAAACATCCTAACAGCACAGAAAGGTTGAAAATGAAAAGTGAAGGTTCCTCCACACACCTCCTACCTCTAGTCCATCTCCTCAAGGGTATCTGTTGTTAACTCTTGCTTGTATAACCTTCCAGAAAAAAATTGGGCCTATACCAGGAAAAGCGTATCTAAAGATGGGATCATACTGTACATTTTGTTTTGCATCTTGCCTTTTTCTGTCAGTGTACTTTGGTGACCTTTTCATAAAATATGCACAACTCCAGGGTTGCCTGGTATTCCACTGTGTGATTATACCTCATTGATTTAACTTGTCCCCTATTGGTGGACATTCAAACTTTTTCTGCTTTTGCACTAGTACAAAAACCTGGTGCAGTGGACATCTCTTAATTTATAATTTGATTTTTTGGGGGAATACATCCAAAAGGGTAAATTTTTAGCAATGATATTTCAGGGGCAAAAGATGTGTGCATTTTAATTTTTGATGACGATCACCAAATTCTCTTCTAGAATGGTATTACAAATTATATTCCCGTCAACTGTAGATATTACCACATAAAAAATGTGATTTTACCAGTCTGATAGGTTTTCTTTCAATTATGAGGAAGAGTAGAATGTAGAATTTAAATGTAGCATTTTCCTATATCTTATTTTCCCTTAATATTTTGATTGCCAGAGGCAGGAGCAGAAACTGCTGGGAAGGCTTGGTTGAAGTAGTTGGAAGAGGTGAGAAAGAAAGTGAAAACTTAGTCCTGTGAAAACTTTCAGGATTCATTTATTTGGGAAGAAGTTTTCAGATATCTGACAGTTCTCTTCCTTTCCCAACCAAAATGTTAATGTACACTACTTTAGATGAAAAAAAAATTCCCCAAATTATGATGTAACTTCCTTGAGTTTAAAATGAATATAAAAAAATAAGAATCTTTTTGACTTAGACCTATCAATTATAGCCCTGGGCTATAATTTAGTGATGTCCTTAGACCATTTTGAATATGTATGAGTATTTAATACCCTTAGCTAAATGGCCTTAGGCTGATATTTTGATTAATATCTATTAATCTATTAATAATCTATTAATCTAATAATCTAATAATCTAATAATCTATTAATAAAAGGCTAGGTCTTTTATTAATTAATTTATTTTCATAACTTACTACTTTTTTCTGGTTGCCAGTTTTCAGTTTTAAGTTTGTCCCTGTACTTGCTTACACAGGCTTCTCTCCACTTGTCTCCCTAATTGGTTCTCTAGTTTCTAAACTTTATGTATCACTGTTATAAATGTGTATAAAATAGGTGTAACTTGCCATTTAATAAGTTGGTTGTGGGTCTTTTAGGAGTAAAGTCTGTGCAGTTGGTGCACAGGCCTTGGGGAATCTCTTTTGCCAGGAGAAGGACCCTTTCTGGGGAGGGAGTGCCTGATTTTTGGTTGGGTAAGGCATCGTTGTGTTCTGTAGAGAGGAAGAGGTTAAATAAAGAGGTGTTAGCAGTGGTTGGCAGCTCTAACCAAGCCTTTTTGATTCCAGTAGAGGGAGATGATGTGTACATGGCTGTAGAAGCTTCTCTGAGCTCAGTGGTTCAGTAAGTACAAGGGGCAATTCATGGGTGGCTGTGGTTTGTGTCATGGGAAAAGATATAGGGGAGAGCTTGGGAAAGGAATGTCAGCATCTCTTTTCCTCTAGCAGAATTTTAAACTTGATTTATACCTATTCTACTTAGCAGTTAAGAGAGGAGTATTGCTTTATATTTAACAAACCTTCTTTGTCCAAAGCACGCTGCCAGCTGCTGTGGTGGATATCAAATGAAATAAGATGTGTCTCATTCCTGCAAAGGTTTGTAGTCCACTGACAGACAAGGGCCAGAAAATACGGAGTAAACCGAGGGTAGGAGAGCCAATCAATTGGGAGTCTCTCAGTTGCAAGAGATAGAAAACCCAACTCTGGCCAGCTATGGCAAAAAGGGACTTAATTGGCTTCTGGCACAGCGTGGGTTGGGCTCAGATGGTGTCCCCAGGCCCCATCTGTTGCTTCTGCCTGCTCTAGGCTGCTGTTTCCCGTGGTGGTAGGCAGCAGCATCCTTCACATCCCACATGCCCACAGAGCAGAGAGTACTCTTTTTTGGAACCCCCAGTAAACATTTCATTGCTTTTCATTGGCTCTGACCAAGCTACACAGCCATTTCTGAGCCTGTGGTCAGAGGGTGGGATATGTTGGTTGTTTTCACCTGTGTTACATCAAACATACTTGGAGCCTGGGGATGGCGCCAGCTTGATGCAGAGAATGGTCCAGGATGGGGAAAGGGTGGTTCCCCCCTACGAGAATGGGCATCAAAACCGTAAGAATGGTGAATACATGCTGGCTAGCCCAAGAATTCACCAAATGTTCCCACAAAGTGAAGATAATAGGTGTGAGCTGAGTCTGTCTTGCCAGTCTGTGTGTTCCATATTAGGACACTGGAGACTGGACTGTAATTCTTAGATTGGGGTATTCTCTGTATTTTAAGCCTTGAAGAAAATGCAGTTGACCTTTGAAAAATTCAGGGGTTGGGGTGCCAGCCTCTTGTGCAGTCAAAAATCTGACTGTAACTCTTGACTTCCCCCAAATTTAACTACTTGTCTTGCCAATGGGTTTCAGCCCCGGGCAAGTTCACTATGGATTCATTGAGACCAAGGAATGACAATGGAACGTTCTTGGGGTGAAAGGGTTTATTACCTGGCTTGTTCTCCCGGCGATAGGTCGAGCACTAAAGTTACTCTGCATCCAACAGTCTGCAGTTCTGTAATCCTTCTTGTGTCTGCCTCGGCCCAGAGCACTGGGCAGAGCTCTTTATATAATGACTCAGTCAATAACAGCTCATTGCCTAAGGGTGTGGAAGCAGTAGCCTAGCAGCAGGCCAGTTACATCATCAAGTAGTTTAGGTTCAGGTTAGGATCCTGGCCATAGGTACCTCATTTTATTCATACTACTAATAATCTACTGTTGCCCAGAAGCCTTATCGATAACAAACAGCCAATTAACACACATTTTACATCTGTATTATATTCTGAATTTTTACAGTAAAATAAGCCAGAGGAAAGCAAATGTTTTTTCAAATTATCACAAATCTCCAGAAATTTTCCAATATATTTACTGAAAAAAACCGCACATTATTAGTGGACCTGTACATTTAAAACCCATGTTGTGCAAGGGTCAGTTGTGAAGTGTTGTGCATAAGATCACGAGCCCTGGAGGCTACCAGACCTGGTTTTGAGTCCTGGCTCTGTTATAGCTGGATCATATCCTATCCTCTCTGAGTCTCAATTTCCTTATCAGAGAGATGGGGGCAAGACTGGTGTTTTATCATAGGGGTTTTATAAAAATTCATTGACAGAATCCAGGTAACACATTACATACTGTGTCCACGTGCAGTTAGCTGGAATTATTTTTGTTGTTTTTCATAAATTAACCTAGCTGGACAACCTCTGAATTTTGTTAGATGACAAACAGCCAGTATCATAAGACACTACTGAACTAGTGTCTTTGGAAGAATTTTTTTTTAAATTAAAAACAAACATCTTATTTGTAAGGTTGAGATTTGTGAATTAACTTAAAAAAATCTTGGCAGAGATACAGGCTACTTCTGAACAGCAGCAGCAGCTGGTGGAGAAATGGAGATACAGTCCTATTATGCCAAGCTCTTGGGAGAGTTGAATGAACAGCGGAAGAGGGACTTTTTCTGTGACTGCAGCATCATTGTGGAAGGGCGGATCTTCAAGGCCCACAGGAACATTTTGTTTGCCAATAGCGGCTACTTCCGAGCCCTGCTCATTCACTATATCCAGGACAGTGGGCGGCACAGCACCGCCTCTTTGGATATTGTCACCTCTGATGCCTTCTCCACCATCTTAGATTTCCTCTATTCTGGGAAGTTGGATTTGTGTGGGGAGAATGTGATTGAAGTCATGTCGGCCGCCAGCTACCTGCAGATGAATGATGTGGTGAACTTCTGCAAGACATACATCAGGTCATCCCTCGATATCTGCCGAAAGATGGAGAAGGAGGTGGCAGTGGCGGCGGCTGCGGCTCATCAGGTAGAGAGTGGAAGCCCCAGTGCAGGCAGGGAAGAAACCTCCTGTGATACCAAGAGCTTGGTCTCCTGTCTAGCAGAGGGAGAAGAGGGGGTGGACCGTCCAAGAGAGTCCCCTTATGGTGGCTGCAGAGGCTGCCACCCCCTGGAACTGGTGGTGAAAGACAACCAGGGCAGTGGCTCATCCGACAGTGACCTCTCCAGCCTGCCCAGACAGATAGAGCCCAAGGTGGAGTTCGACGCCGATGAAGTGGAGGTGGAGGTTGGTGAACAGCTGCAGCAGTATGCTGCCCCGCTCAGCCTGACCCACACGGACGAGCCCAGCGGCCAGGCCATCGACTTGGCTTACGGTAACTTCCACATGAAGCAGTTCCTGGAGGCTCTCCTGCGCAACAGTGCTGTCCAGGGCAAAGATGATGCAGACCATCCTTTTTCTCGGAGTTTGGAGGGAAGACCCGATGGTGCAGGAGGAGCCGTGAGTTCTGTGATGGGTGTCCAGACTGCCTGGTATGGAGAGGACTCAGGTGAGCTCCATTAGCACTCATCGTCTTGGCCAGTAGTCATGTAGCATGCACAGCTGTGCCTGCTGAGCTCCTGTCATCGTCAGCAGCGTGGTCATGGTCACCGCCATTGCCACCACCATCACTGTCACTACATTATCACTACCACCACCGCCATCAGTAGGTGTTAACTGACCACCCACTGTGTGCATGGCATTATCTCTTCATGTTTGCTAGTATTTTACCTCTGCAACTGGGAGATAAGAGTGTTGAGGGCAGTTTGAAGACATGGAAAGAACCTACTGTCTTCTAACCTGGAGTGAGACTGGTTAAGTTATTAAATGTCTTTGAAGCTGTTTTGCTCAACAGACAATCACCCCTGCCCTGCGTTTCCCACAAGGTTGAGGACCAAATGACAAGGTTTTCAAAACTTTGTCTTATGTGTGACAACACATTCTAGACAGGTAGGAAATTTATACTTCTTTGAGTCAACCATGGTGCCTGGCACATAGTAGACACTCAGTTAACATGTCGTGGTTAATGGTGTTGTCTACTCAAGAATATTTTAGAGTGGGCGTTTGGCTTCATGTGACTAAATTTCTTATATCCTTTGATAGGCTTCTGTGTTTTAAGAGGACTTGGTTGTTTCCCTGAACAATTCTAAGAGATGAGTTAACATGGTTAACTCTTAATTATGTTGTGAAGTATCTTGTAGGAGATAGAAATAGTCTGGCCGCCACCTTACTGATGAAAGTACCCTATGGCTTCCAGAACCTCAAGCCAAGAAATTAATGAATCACAATTCTAATTTATCTGTCAATATTGAGCAGTGAAAGGATTTTAAACAAAGGAGATCAGCTGCTTTTGTTACCAAATAACTGTCTTTGCAACTTCAATTTCATTTTTTTAAAGCAAAAACGCTCTGTATGATTGAAACTAGACTTGAAAAAATTGAAAATGCTGTTTCTGGTTCTCAGAGACACTGGCTTACCCAGCGTTTCGAAGATAGTGGCTGTGCTCCGTGAACACGCTGTGGGAACATGGGGCCGTCTCATTTCTGGGTGTATGATAGTGCTGCACAGACTGCACCTGCCCTCTCACAGCCATTAGACCCACATTAGGCCCCGTGAGTTTGGCATAGGAAGTGTGGAGAAGCTGAGACCCAGAAAGGTTTAATGGATTACCTAAGAATGTGGAACGGTAAGTGGTACGGCTAAAACTAGAAACCTGGGCCGGCTTCATTTCACTCACTAAGCGAACTGTGAAGTGGCACAAGTGGATAGAGGGTTTCAGCACAGTGATTCAGTCTTCCAACCTCTCTGCTTATAAGCACAAGTACCAAGACTTAGTACTTCAGCTCTATGCCATCTTCATGCAAGTCCAGTCTATCTGTGAAGTCAGGTCTCCAACTACAGGGTGCCATGGCAAGGCAGCCCCCTGGCCCCCGGCCATGTTGTCTGTCAGGTTTCGATTCCATTCACGGGACTCCAGGGTCAACTTATTCCAAGTGCCAAGGCACTGAGTAGGACAGATTTGTTTAGCCATTGATTTATTTGCTTGGATTTTTTTAATCCAAAGTATATATACAAGGATAAGACAGATATAGATCCAGCCCTCAAAGAACTGATGGTATCTTAGAGGAGATGAGACGTGTGTAATTGGCATCACATCGTAGAAAGGTGCGTGACTGGAAGACAGATGGAGGTGTGAGTTTTACATAGCCCCAAAAGCAGGAGAATTGGCTTCTGACTGGGAGAATAAGGAGGCTTTATGAATGTGGCATCTGAGGATAAGGAGAGGAGACATGGGGGAAGTTGTTTGGAGTTCAGATCGTGGAAAATTAATGCCAAGACATGAAGTTTTATCTGTGGGCACAGTGGAAGTTTTGTAGTTTCTGAGCTTGGGAGGAGACAGGATCTGTGCTTCAGGGAGATTAATTTGGTCTCAGCACAAGATGGTGTGGAGAAGGGAGACCAGTTACAGTAATCCTGTATCCACGTTCATCCCTGACATTAGCAGACACTGTCAAATCATAAGGTCCTCCCTGACCTTCCAGCCCCAACTCCAGCACCTCCCTTTGCTTCTTTAAGAATTCATTTACATTGGCTATCTCCCCATCACTTCTTGGAAAGTTTATCTTTCCTCCACTGTTTTACTTCCCACTCTTCTCAGCCCACAACAGCCCAGCTTCTACGCCCTACGCACCGCTGCAACTACTATTATGGGGTCAGCTGTACATTTCTAGCTGACACAGGGAGTAATTTGTTTCAGATGTTAACCTTACTTAACTTCTCTTGATAGTTGACTCTGACCTTTCCTTCTTGAAATTATTTCTTTCCCCTGCTCCTGACACCACGAGTACCCATTGCTCTTACTTCTGCCCGTTCCTTTTCAGGCTCATCCTGAGGTCATTTAATGTCAGTGGGTCCAGGATTCCATCATTGGCTTGCTTCTGCAACATCGTATCATTCCTGTTCATTCATTTATTTAACAGAGCATATACTATATGCCAGACACTGCTAATCACAGTGAACAAAAGACAGTCCTTGTCCTCATGGAGCTGACATTGTACCATAGGAAAACAGGCAATAAACAAATAAGTAAATATATAACATGAAGAGGAACTAAAGCAGGGAAAAGGCTGATAGAGAGTGAAGGGGATGCTACTTTATTTCGTGTTGACAAGGAAGGCTGTTCTAACATGTGGCCTTTGAGCAGAACCCTCAGGGAGTAAGAGAGCAAACTGTGCAGGTATCAGGGAGAAGAACATCCCAGGCAGAAAGAAGAGCAAGGCGTGCAGGCCTGGGTGCAGGATCACACGTGGCTAGTAAGCCCAAGGAACAGCAGGATGCTGGAGCGGCTGGAGTGAGCAAGGCAGAGAGTGTTGGGGGATGAGGTCAGACACTGTGGGTGAGGGCGGACCACGTGAGGCCTTGAAGGCCACGAGAAGGCCTTTGGATATTACTCTGAGAAGGGAAGCCACTAGAGGTTCTCAGCTAGGGTGACTTGAAATGACATATCTTATAAGGATCCCTCTGGGTACTGTGTGTAGTAGCCTCCTAAGTGACCGTCTCTTTCCACCCTTGCTCCCTGTAGGCCGTGCTCCTCTCTGGTCTTTCGGAGAGCAAGGCTGGAAGCAAGACCACTTAGGAGGTCACTGCAGTGCTTCAGGTGAGAGGTGCTCCTTAAATCCATGTGGTGGCAGCACAGAGGGGATATGTGGTTGGGTGAGGACTATACTGTCTCTCAGGGCCAACCACGTTTTTGCTGATGGCTTGTATGAGTAGTGTGAGAAAGAGAGAGGAGTTCAGGGTGACCCTGAGGTTTCTAGCTTGAGCAGTGATTTGGCCATGTTGGTGATGCCTGTTGGATATCCAAGTGGGGAAGTTCAGGGAGCAAGCACAGCTATATGTTTGGAGTTCCGGGGAGAGGTCAGAGCTCAGATAGAAATTTGAGTCATTAACCAGTCCATGGAATTTAAAACCTGTATATCCCATTAACTTATAGACCTAGAAGGAGAAGATAAGAGATCTAAGGACTGAGCATGGGGAAAATCCAGCATTTAGAGGTAAGGAACATAGGGAGAAACCAGAAAAGAGACTGAGAAGGGGCAGGCAGTGAGGTAGCAGTGAAATCAAGAAAGAGCAGTGGATGCCAAGGGAAGAGTTTCAAGAAAAAGGAGCCATAAATTATGTCCAGTAATGGGCATAGGTAGGTTGAGAACTGATCATCGGTTTAGCGATAGAGAGGTCACTGGGGAGCTTGACAAGAGCAGTATCATTGACATGGTGGGGCCAGAGACCAAACGGAGTAGGCTTGAAAGAGAACTGCTGAAATGGATGTGAGGATAATGAGTATAGATGCTTCTTTCAAGGAGTTTTCCTGTGAAGGGAACAAAGAAATGCCTTGGTGGCTGAAAGGGGATATGAAGTCAAGTTATTAAGGTGGAGGAGCTGAAAGCATGTTTACTTACTGATGGGAATGATCCAGGAGAAGGGAGGTCCATTGATGATGGAGGAGAAAACTGATAGAGGGGGGTCCCATCTACAAGTTGGGGGATGGCCTGGCCTTGGCTGGGAGGAAGGACAGTTCGTTCCTATTAATAGGAGTGAAGGCAGATCATATGTGTTCCCATGGGGGCTTGGGGGGGTGGCTGGGAGCATGTAGAAGTTCTCTTCTGATTGCTTCTCCTCTTCAGTTATTCAGGAAGCAAAGGCAGCAGCTGAAAGTGGGGAGGGTGTAGGAGAGGCTGGAGATTTTAGCAGAGGGAGGGTGTAAATTGTCGTAGAGGAGTGGGAGAATGAATGAGCCAGGGAAATAGAGTGCCTGGGCAGAACCAAGGACTCTTGATATTAGTGGTCAGATGATGGTGATCAGATAGATTCAAGGTGAGACCAGAGCGCACAGTTGTGTATTTTCCTCCAGTGATGTTAACTTGCCTTTTTTCAGGTATGGAATAGGCAGAGAGTTGTATTTAACCAGGGTTTAACCAGGTGAATGCTGTTAGAGGGAAGGAGAGGACTAAGACAATTGTAGTTGTGTGCAAAGGAGTGATTTCCCTAATGGACTGTGGGCACTAAACAGGGGAAGGAGAGGCGTGAGGACTTGAAGAGGTGAAGAGCAGTAAAATGGCAGCATAGTCTATGGCTCAGAGATCCCAGCAGAGAAAGGACACTTAGGGGGTGAGCTGGAAAGGTATGAGAGAGTGATTGGGTAGTGGGGTGCCCAAAGTGTGGCTTATGGTGGGAATACCGTTCTTGGCAATATCTAGTGATGGGGCCATGAGTCTGATGCCTGACTGTACATTAGAATGGGGAGAGTGCTTTACAAATATGCTGCTTGGGATGGAAATTGGATGTCAATATTTTTAAATTTTAAGTTTCCCTGGTGATTCTAATATGCAGGCAGAGTTGAGAGCTCTGGTCTGTGATTGGGTGACAAGGTAGGGTAGAGAACAATGTCTTTGGAGGAAAGAAGGTCAAGGGACAGAAAGGCCAAGTTGTTGAAAGGGTTATTTTTGACATTCACACCAAGAAGTCTGCCGGGTATTGTGTTTGAAGGCAGTGTGATCAAATCTCCAAGGAATGAGTAGGTGAACTAGGGGCTCCTGGATGCCTGTACCAAGGGGATGTAGCTGTGCTATCACCTGATGGTCTGAGCTTCAAAAGAACTTAGGGTTTTTTAGGATGGAGGGACGGTGGTCTGGAGATGACAGTGAAGCACAGGGAGTACTCTTCACATCTCCAACCCAGGGGTGTCAGGACTATGGATAAGGGAAGCAGGGTGCTCAGGGGAGAGCCAGGTATCAGTTAAAGCAACCAATCCAATCTGCTTTCAAGGACTCTGAACACTGTATTCTTCTTCCCTTCTTTTCCTGAGCTCCAGATTTATCTGTCTAACCTAGGTGTTCCCTCATCAATGCCCTGGGCCTGCCTCAAACAGTAACATCTGAACTGCACTCCTCATTCCTTCTCTGTCGCTGCCTCAGTTTACCCCACTGTTATCTACCAAATCAGCTAACCCGGAACCATGGCATTTAGAATCTTCTGTGTTTCCCTTCTCGTCTCTCCCCTACAGGGTCACCAGTACTGTTAATTTTACTTCTTAAACGTGTTTCCTCACCTCCACCTCCACAGCCACTGCTTTAGCTCTTGTTGTCTCCCATCCCGTCCCACCTGGACTTTCTGCCTTTAATCCTGCCTCTCTTAAATCCTTTCCCTGCATTGTTCCCAGAGGGATCTTTTAAAAGTCAAATCCCACCATGTACCTCCTTTGCTAAAAGTCCGAGCTGCTTACAGAATAAAGTCCAAGTCATGAGGTGTCATGAAAGCAGGGATATTTGTCTCTTCCATTCACTGCTTTTTTCTCAGGGCCTAGAACACAGCCTGACACATACTAGGTGCTCAGTATAAATTTGTTGAATAAATTAATGAATATGACCCTCACAGCCTGGTTCTTGTCCCTGCCTCAAGCTTATTCCTCACCCACCTACCCCGCCAACCTTGCTTTATGTTTCATATTCTCATTTACCTCCGTGCCTAAACATATGTTGTTCCTCTATCTGAGATACCTTTCTCTGGCTTGAACTGGTGAACTCCTACTCATCCCTTAAAGCCTTGCTCAAAATCACCTCTCCTGTGAAAACTTCTCTGAACTCCTAGTGAGAATTCATTATTTTCTTGTCTAATTTCTTCATCACTTTGAATTTTGCATGTGTTACATTATATTGTGTGAATTTGTTTACATGTCTTTTCTGATAGACTTAACTTCTTGAGAGAGGAGACGTGTCTTGGTAAAAACATACCTTGACACAGTGCCTGGGCGTGTAATAGGAATTCAAGTGAACTGTTGCAGTGGGGGAATCAGACCATGAGAGAGAAGGGAAAGTGTTGCAGTAATTTGTACTTTTCTGGGAGAGAAATGGTTTTTCCTTGGACTTTCCTTTTTCCCCCAAGGACTAACTAATGCTGGACCCATTGTACTCTATGTTTTTGTAACTGGGAAGAAGGTATAGTTCAAGACCAGGCTGAGGGGGATAAGGGACAAGAGAATTCCACACTGTCAGGAGTGAGCAGGACACTGGTGTTTCAGCACCAGTGTGATCAGCGAGAAATAAAATAACCCATCATATGTATGTGGTGATGAGCTATGAGCTGCTGCTTTTATTCTAGGAAGCAGATTTTGGAGTTACTACAGATAATGCAGAATATTAGGCATTATCCAGATGGGAACTAGAAACCAAAGAGAATAATCTCCACCCTTACACAGAATGCTGCTGGATTCTCAGGTGGAATTCAGCTTGCCATAACAGCACCTCAAAACCGAAGGAGCCCAACTAGGTATCCTGAGAGGGTCCCAGAAAAAAGAAACGTCAAGGACCTCATGATGGTAACAAAAATGTGACATTTACAAGAGTTTACTAAGTGCCAAGTGCTGTGCTTCAGGTGCTACTTCATTTCATTCTTACCATGATCCTACAGGGTGGGAACTGTTATCACCCCTACTTTACAGATGAGGAAAGGAAGGTACAGAGACATTAAGTAAGATGCCCAAGGTCACACAGCTGGTAAGTAGTAGAGCTCAGTTTTGCATCCAGGTATCTGTGCCTAGAAGTCTTCAGTCACTAGTGCCTCCATTTATGATGATATGATATGCCCAGTCTGTGAAATCCCGAAGGGCATGGATAGAGGGAACAAATCTCGGAATACTGCAATAAGGGTAACTGAGGAGACTTGGAAAGAGCAGGTGCTATTCGTAGGGCTGATAGTCATGTTGTCATCTTAGGTTGTATAAGCAAGATGAAAAAAAAGGATTGGAAAAAGATTTCAATGAATTCCTGCCTATTTGATGATTTCAGATATGTAAAGTTAATATGAATTCCGAATAGTCTAGGGTCTGCATCATAGCAGACCTCTTCTGTATATGCCTGGAAGCTATTCTTATGGACTAATGTCAGAGAAAGCAAGAGTCCTGGTCCAGCGGTCTGGTGCATCATAATGGAGTTTTCGAATTTTGAGGGTTATGAGCTAATTCAGGAGGTCTGTTAGTCAAAGGCTGCCATAACAGAATACCACAGACTGAGTGGCTTAAACAAAAGAAATTTATTTTCTCACGGTTTTGGAGGTTCAGAGTCTAAGATCAAGGGGCCAGCAGGGCTGGTTTCTGGTGAGAGCCCTCTTCCTGGCCTACAGACCACTGCCCTCATGCTGGTCTCCCATGGACTTCTGGGCACAAGCGGAGAGAAAGAGATCTCAAGTGTCTCTTCCTCTTCTCGGAAGGTCACCAGTCCTATCCGATTAGGGCTCCACATTCATGACCTCAATTAACCTTAATTACCTCCTCAAAGTCTCTGTCTCAAGTATCGTCACCTTGGGGGTTAGGGCTTCAGTGTATGAATTTTGGGTGAATGCATTTCAGTCCATAAGAGGGTCTCAGTCAGTACTGTCTTCAAATGAAATCAGGGAGAAGAGATGCTCTCAGTGTGAGTGTTGCTTTGGGAAGCCTTTCTGGTTACCCACAGGAAGGCATGTATGTTCTGAGGTTGCAATGTAAGCTGTGTTTCTAATTGTGAGCCTCAGAGAGGTTGGAGAGCTGGTGTCTTATGGCATTCCTGCAGCCGTAGATCAGAAGCCCACTTTACCCTCTGGCTGACTGAGAGCCGTAGTTAGAATTTACCGACAGCGTCTTGCTCTGAGCAGGTGGTACAGTTGGACTGGCAGCTCAGGATCCCACGTACAGGAGGGTGGCCGGTGTTGTTGCTCCCTGCAGCGCAGCTAAATCGGCCCATGTGGTTCCCCAGGTGATGTGCTGGTGGTCCCCATCAAGCTTCACAAGTGTCCTTTCTGCCCTTACACCGCCAAACAGAAGGGCATCCTTAAGCGGCACATCCGCTCACACACGGGCGAGCGGCCCTACCCCTGTGAGACCTGTGGCAAGAGGTTCACTCGCCAGGAGCACCTGCGGAGTCACGCGCTGAGCGTAAGTGTCCCTGCAGTAGGGGTGGGGGGAGGGGAGGGAGGTGGGAAGGTGGGGTCTTGACATCTGTCTAGTGTAAGGGTAGACCAGCCTGTCTTTTACTCCTCTGTCCCCTGGGGTATTATCAGAGTATTTTTAAACACGTGTTTCTACTTCTAAATTAAAGCTGGGTTGGTGGCCCTTAGAGAAAGTTAAACTTATATCGTAACAGACTAGTTTTTTTGGGGGAGAAGAGTCAAGAATGTTTAGAACTGTGGCAGGAATGGTTGTCAAAAGGCAGAGAACAGTGGGGCTTGTGGGGCTGTTCCCACTGGTGCGATGCCAAACTGCATCCTTGGTTTCTCCCCCAGCACCCAGGGGAGGATGATGCCGCCATTGATAGGGCCACCTGTGGGCAGTAGAAAGGGCTTCAGACCAAGAGGATCTTTTCTCCCACAGGCTGCCCATGTGATTCTATCTATAAGTGGGTGCTTCCCACCAGCTAAAAAGTAGGCCATTTAGAGAGGCAAAGATGCATTTAAGATCATCTGTGAGCAAGGCAGTCTTTGGAAAATCCAACAGAAAAATGGTTTGGACTTCAAAGGATGCCATCATGAATGTGAAAAGACAGCCCACAAAATGGGAGAGAATATCTGTGAATCATTTATGTGCTAAGGACCTAGTAACTCTAGTAATAACCAGAATATAAAGAACTCTTAGAATTCAACAGTAGAAAGACAATGCAATTAAACAATGGATGTGAATAGACATTTCTCCAAAGAAGATATATACATGGCCAGTAAGCACATGAAAATACGCCCAACATCAGTAGTCATTAGGGAAATGCAAATCTAAGCCACAGTGAGATACTACTTCACACATACTAAGATGAGCTATAATAAAATAAAAAACAGGCAATTACAAAGCATTGGTGAGGATGCAGAGAAAGCAGAACCCTCATACACTGCCGGTGAAAATGTAAAGTGGTGCAGACACTGTGGAAAAGTTTAGTGGGTCCTCAAAAATTAAGCATAAAGTTACCATAGGACCCAGAACTTCTGCATCTAGGAATATACCCAAGAGAACTGAAAACATACAGTCATGCAAAAACTTGCACACAAATGTTCATAGCAGCATTATTCATAATAGCCCCAAAGTGGAAACAACTGATGAATGAATCAACAAAAAGTAGTATAGCCATGCAATGGACTATTTTTCAGCCATAAAAAGGAGCAAGGGGTATGTGGGAATGGGAGAGAGGTAGCAGTGAGTGGGCACAGGTTTCTTTATGGGGTGATGAAAATGGTCTGGAATTAGGAGGTGGTGATGGTTGCTCAACCTTGTGAATAAACCACGTAATTGTACACTTCAAAGGTGAATTTTATGGTATGAATTATGGTTTTGAAAGAATCCAGATTTAACATAAGTACAAGGTTACTGATTGCCTCTGCTCTCAGTGCTGGCCCTAGCACACTTGTTTGAGAATGGCCTCATCCCAAGGTTTTAAGTTTTTGTTTGTTTCCAAATTATATCTCCAGTCCGTCTTGGCAGCAGTAGGTCCTTGAGTGCTTCTAAGCTGTTTCATTCATTGGAATCTTTATTCCCTCTATCTTTGTATGTTACACAGAGTCCAGTGTACTGTAGCCCAAAGAGGTGGCATTCAAAGGCCCTGTCAGGTTGCAAAGGTCAGATATACGCTCAGGTTGGCTCAGGTGTTGGTGGTTTAGCATAGGAAGCCCAGGGCACCTCATGGACAGCAGGGACATTGGTCAGGATGTAATGGTCAGCTCCAGCGATCTGGGCATTGTGTTCTTGGCCCTTCTGTTACATCATTTCTCTCTGTCTTCACCTCTTGTGTGCATCCTCCATCCAGAGCTCTCTAAAAGAGAGGCTTTGATTTGATTTGGGCATCCAGGACCCCTTTTGGCTGGAGTTCCTGGAGAGTTCACATATTAGATGGTTCCTTATACAGAGGGGACCCTTGCAACTCCTGCCTTCAGAATGCTGCATGGGGCTGGAGGTAGGGTTTTTTTCTAGCACATAAAGTGCTTCTTATAAATGAGGAGTGCATTTGTCAATGAACATGCAAGTGCCACGTTTGGGGAATACACTGTCCAGCAAATCTACCTTCCTAATAATTAACCAAGTCCAAGGTACATAAGAAGCTACGCCTAACATCCTAATCAGTTCATCAAAGACCCTTTATATGCCAAGCACTAGGGGTATAGTAACAAATGTGACAGAGAACAGAGAATATGAATGAGTCCCTGCCCTCTTGGAGCTTATAGTCTAGTGAATTTTACCAACTATTTGTCAGCAGTACAACAAAATCAGACATGTGATAATATATAGCTGAGGGACCTAACCAGGAGCATCAGAGATGATTCCTTTGAAGGCACTAGTAGTGGGTATGCTTGTCCGTGGGGAGGAGGGCACATCCCATGCATGTCCAATGGCTCTGGGGTGGAAAAGATCTTGGTGAGGCTGCAGCTGTGGCAGAGAGAGCAAGGGGCCAGGTGAGGAGCAGTGGGTTCAGCCCGGGGCCAGATCATGGGGGGCCTTCAAGGCCAGGGCGCAGCCCCTCTTCTGGATGTTAACTTGTGATTTTAGGTGCACAGATCCAGCCGTCCGATCATCTGTAAGGGCTGCAGAAGAACCTTCACCAGTCACCTGTCACAGGGGCTGCGGCGCTTTGGGCTGTGTGACAGCTGCACTTGCGTTACAGACGCACATGATGATGAAGACGATCTGGTGCCCATCAATCTTAGCCTGGTGGAGGCTTCGTCCGAAAGCCAAGAGAAGAGTGACACAGACAATGACTGGCCCATCTATGTGGAGTCTGGTGAGGAAAATGACCCCACCGGAGATGATTCCGATGACAGACTGCCAACTCGGCCCACCTTATCAGATGCAGAGACGCTTACGTAGCAACAAATTGGTGTGCAAGAGGTTTTAGAATTTGTTATTGCTCATTCTGTGGTTGAAAGCCACCATTTGTCCAATTTTGTGGAATGCTGAGAGAAACATGTTTTCACTGTTAATATATTTGCATTTTCCTAAACCACCTGGTGGAGATTGGATTTTGTGACTCAAAGAATTCATGGCTTTTTAGTGTGCTGCCCTTGGTTTTGAGGACTTTGCTGGGCCTGAGGCTTCCTGCTTTCCCTGTTGTGCATCCAGACTCTGCTTAGGTGAAAGATAAAATCGCCATGCTTGTTTCCATATGGTCTCAATCCTCTGTTGTCACCCTCTTTCTCTGAAAAGGTGGACAAGAATGTATTAAGTTTTAAGATCAATCTTAACTTTTGTCAAGCTTCTCCATATGCATTCCATGTTTTAATTTTCTGATGAGGTATTAGAAAGCTTCATCCATATAAGGCAGGCTGGGCTGCCTGGCTACATGATTATAAAAGTTACTTTTTAAATCTAAGACTATAGTGTTGAAGGCTGGGAGTATTTATGTGCAGACAAGCATGGGAATGAGCTGAAAGGCTCCTACGGCACTCTGACTTGCCCAGTTGAATTAAACTTTAAATTAGTCCTGGGAAGGGAGCCTGTGAGCCCAGGTCTGGGTGGCTTTCCTGTCTGGTTTAGTATTTGACAATTCTACGCACACAGATAACCTATCTTGTGATCATAAGATAAGTCATTTGGGCTAAACTCAGAATGCTCCCCTGCCTTTTCCAGCTGTTTCTAAGAGCTGCTGCTGTGGATATAGCCATTGCCAACAAGCTTTTACTCATCATGAATATTCGTGAACTTTAATTGGAGGGAAAGTGTAAGCCTGTATAAACAAGTTATATTTCTAAATTGTTTACCTTTTACAAGATCCTCTGGAGGTAAAGAGGTTAGTAGAACTTTAGTAGAACAGGTTTTTAAAACCAATCTGCTTTTCACCCACTTTGCAGCCATACAATTATTCTGCCAAAAGAGGCTGTGCTTCTTTAAAAAGCTGAAGAGCAGGAAATATTGGGGATTAAGGATATTTAAAGCACTTTGATAATTTTGTCTTAGGTTAAAGTATCAAAAATGGATTTTAAAGAAATCCCTTTTCTTGCTATAATTTTAGTATGGTTGAGTTTCAAAAGGTGGTAAAGTCACTCTTCTTTCTGCCTCTGGAACAAAAAAGATAGTAAAAAACATAAATTGGCTTATGAACTGCACTTCTCAATAGACGTTAGAACCCCAGAATGGTGCTGCTCAAACTCTGTGCTCCTGACAGCTTAGCTGCTGGTCTCTCAATTCTTTGATACCTTCCACATAGTAGGACCCTGTGTTGGTCTGCAGTAGATTAGAAATTTAAAAACTGGTCTTTTACTACAGATAGCTTGAAAATTATTGTTTTAGATCAAGAGTTACCAATTGAAAATTAGCAAGGACCAGAAACACTTTTCTTACCTAAAATAGAAATATTAGCTATGTTTTAAAAGAGAGAGCTAAGCCAAAGGGAAACCTAAGTGTTTAGAAGATAACACCTGTCAAGGAGTTAGGTTTGATATTTTTGTTTATTCTGTTTTAATTATTACTGATGTTTTAGTAAGATGTTTCTACCTCACAGTTAACTTCTTTGCCTACTTCCTCTGGTAGGGCAATGATCCTCTTCAGGAACTCCATGACCTGTTTATATCACTGGGTGACAGGTAAAAAATTTATACTACAAATTTAACTGTAAGACAGTGGCTTTGAACTGGGGGTGATTTTGCCCCCCAGAGGACATCTGGCAAAGTCTGGAGACATTCTCAACTGTTAAACTCAGGGCAGAGTGCTGCTGGCATTTAGTGAATAGATGCCAGAGCTGCTGCTAAACACCCACAGTGCATAGGATGGATGGCCCCTTACAGCAAAGAATCACCTAGTCCAAAATGTCAGGAGCACCAATGTTGAGAAACCTTACTGTAAGATACAGTAGGATTTTAAAAATGACCTTTAATGAGTGAACTTAATTTTATGTTGTATTTTAGGCTACCTTTTACCTTATAATATTTAATAGGCCCTTATGCTTCTACAAGTTTTAGAAAATAGTGGATTAGTAAAATGGGGAGCTGAGGCCAAATTGTTTATAACTTGCCCAAGATCTGATTAGGTTTGTGATATGGAAACTTAGATATTCTGATCAGATTTATGCCCCCAGAACCATTATTAGGCTCTGATCACTTTATTAAATTTTAGAGTAACAGAATCGTTGGGAGGAAGATGGAACATGAAGCTTAATATTTAAACGATATCTTTCTTCCATAATGTCTAAGATTGCTGCATTCCTGGTGGCATTTGGAGTTTGTATTGGCGTTGGTAATAACTGGGCTGCTGAATTCTGTTGCTTTTAGAGGAGATGCTTCCTTTGTCTGGACTGTCAGATCATAAACTGTCTTCTGTTTTGAATTTATATTTACATCTGGTGGTCAGTAACTTTGTGGTTTAATTTGTGGAGTTGTTTTTTAAAAAGCTTTTAAAAACTTACTTTTATAATAAGTAAATTCACAGTTGGACCCCACACCCGACCGTTAGTGATTTAGTTCATATTCTGGCATCTTTCTGGCACATTCAGTCCAAGTTCACAAAGGGATACTTTTGTCTTATCTTAGATACACTGTATGGATGGGAACAGGATTCTTACTTGTAATGGGATTAAAGAACACATCCCTGGGAAGTTATTTCTCTTGGGGGAAGAGGACAGGCTTTCATAGCAGGGGTGGAAGAAACGTAAATAAGGCCTGGGTATCTGTAACAAATTAAGAAATGACATACGGCTGCATGGCTTCTGGTCATTTGACAGAAAGATGCCCTTTTTTTAAAAAAATTTTTTATTAAGGTATGATCGATATACACTTTTATGAAAGTTTCACATGAAAAAACAGTGTGGTTACTACATTTACCCATATTATCAAGTCCCCACCCATAACCCCAATGCAGCCACTGTCCATCAGTGCAGCAACTTGCCAGAGATCCACTGTGTCCCTTCTCTGTGATACACTGTTCTCCCCGTGACTTCCCACACCATGTGTACTAAACATGATACCCCTCAGTCCCCTTCTCCCTCCCTCCCCACCCGCCCTCCCGCACCCCTCCCCTTTGGTAACCACTAGTTCGTTCTTGGAGTCTCTGAGTCTGCTGCTATTTTGTTCCTTCAGTGTTGCCTCATTGTTATATTCCATAAATGAGGGAAATCATTTGGCATTTGTCAGAAAGATGCCCTTCTGATGTAAATATTTCAGTGATCACTAGACTTTGAATGTTTCTTAAGAAAGCTACTGACCTAGTGGTCTGCAAAATGTTGTGACATTGAGTATTCTGGGGGTACAGGATACTGTGGTGGGTTTTTTTGTGAAGTGATGGTGTGATAAACCCCACAGAGGGGAAGACAACAGGTGGGGTTGCATATACTGATTCCGGGGCCAGTGGAAAAGTCTAGAGTGGCCTTTGGTTAACTGAATTCAGACTGTTTCATTTGGACTTTTTGGTTTTTCTTGTGTGTCCCTTGTGCACTGATAATAGAATTATCTCTGTGAAGTCTAGTGTAAGGGGATGGGAGTGGCAAAGGCTTAGGATGGGTGAGAAGTTCCTATTACATGTTTGGGGTGTTAGCACTGTACTTCTTGTTATTTTTCTCTTGGAGTTTGCCTTGTGCTTCCACGTGGTCACACTATCTCACTATCTTCTAACCCAAAGAAGGGAGATTTTATTTAGTAGCTTATGGTGGGTCAGGTTTTCATTAATTTTTTTACAATATTTCCACCAAATATTACTGGATTCCTCAAACTTTTCATTATCACGCTGAAAATTTGAATTATTTTCTTCCAATAATGTTTCTGTAGAGATAAACGAAGAGTTTTTGTTTGGCAGGAGTAATGGGTTAGTTTCTAACTTGCCCTGGTTTTAGAAGGCAACACTAACTCATACCAGTGAGACCAGATGATGTGGAACCTTCATAACCTGAGAACTTTTAGCATCTGCTCTGACCCTCCAGGTACATTATTTTACTACTGCCAGTTCTTCATGACAACTGTGGTTTGGGGGAGCAACTTTTATATCCACCATTTGATGTTTGGACCTTCATCAGTAGCATATTAAAAATCAGTGGTGGTGGGGATTATGTGGTTGAAGAAAGTTTAATAGTACAACTTGGGGATTTTAAGGGGAGGCATCAACTTGAGGTATATGTCTTGGTGATGTGTAATGGATACAGATTGTCATGCAGACAGTGAAGGGCATGATCATGATCTTTTTGGAAGCAGGAAAATATGACAGTTTCATATCTTTCTACTGTCATTAGTCCCTGGGGAACATCTACTACAGTTGACCCTTGAGCACATGGTTTTGAACTGGGGGTGGGGGGTCTACTGAATATGTGGATTTGTTTCAATAAATATATATTGGAAAATTTTTTTGAGATTTGTGACAATTTGGAAAAACATGTTATTTTCTCTGGCTAACTTTACTGTAAGAATACAGCGTATAATACATGTAACATACAAGATATGTGTTAATCGACTGTTCGTGTTATCAGTAAGGCTTCCTGTCAACAGTAAGCTGTGAGTAGTTAAGTATTGGGGGAGCCAAATTATATGCAGATTTTCAACTACATGAGGAGTTCGCACCTCTAACTCCTATGTTGCTCTGGGGTCCACTGTACTGGTAAAAAAAAAAAAACAAATAATAGTACTATAGTGTCCTCCAGCGTCTACTGAGGTTTAGCCGAATGTTTAGAAACATTTAAACTCAAACTGCCACACTGAGCATCAGATTCACTTAGGACAGGATGGGAAGCACAGCTCACTAGTGGGGCAGAACCAGAGGTTGCTCTTCTGTTGGAGTTCCTGCTGCTGACTGTGTGTCACAGCTTAGGTGCAAGGAGCAGACCCATGCCAGGCAAGTGTGGAAGCTACCCTGGCTTAAAAGTTTCTTGTCTCACTGGAGCAAGTATCTCTTAGAACAACTCCACAGACATAGCTTCCATAGCTTCCAGGGCCCCCTCAAGAGACACGTCTGTTCCAAGAGCCACTGTCCTTAGGGGAGCCCAGCACTGTGGCTTCCTATCAGATATTTCTTGTTCTCCCAATCCAATGTAATTTATCAATTGGGGGTCATTTTTACCATATGTAATGTTGCCTAGCAACACAGTTGAGATGCTACTCTTTATTAGGTTGCCAGGGGAACAGATCTAGAAAGTTCACCAAAGGTCAAATGCACACATTCAAGGGGAAAGGTTCTGTTTATCTTTTTATGGATAGGATGCTGAGCAATTGCACAATAGATATGCTACCTTGTTCCTATATAATATAATCAGAGGAGTTTCTATGAAAATATAGCCAGCACCAACTCATTTTCCTCTAAGAGATCATTCTTTGTGCTTAGCTACTTATGATTAATACACTGTTGGCAGATTTTGCTGAGGTATGCATAAGAATTGGGTAAAGAATCAAAATGGTCCCATCAAAATGTCATATATCCTTTGGTGTTCCTCAGGGTAGACAGGTATGATATGACATACTATGGTGACATTATTGAATGGAAATTTCTGGGGATTCCATCAGTCACACTTTGATGGGAATCTGTGTCCACCTGGCAACTGCCAAACACGAGGCTCTTGATTGTGTCACCTCGTGTGGCTATGGCAGGTGCTGCTACTTTGCCTGTTGCTCCTGACAGATCAATACATGACTATAGTTGGCTATTTACTCAACAGTGACCCAACAATTATTTATGGAGTCCTTATGTATCAGGTACTAGGGGTATGTCAGTGACCAAGCACAAGCCCTGCCCTCAAGGAACTGGCAGTGTGTAATCAGGGAGACTAATAGTCAAGCAGTTAAAACAATTTTGGGTGTGACAGTAGGGGCAGGGATGGTGCTCTGAGAGTGCTGGTGGAGCACCCAGCTCCGTGTCGGAGCCTCAGAGAAGGCTTTCCTATCTAAGCCACTGTTATAATGGTCCTTCCCATCTACTAAGCTTCTAGCTTTGGGATACAATGTATTTAAATAGTTTCTGACATTCCCTGCCTTTTCCAAATATGGGGGCATTGGACATGAAGAGTATTTAAATTACTTGTTTTACTCAGGTATGTAAAAAATACTGTAAACATCTCAGAACATCCTTTAGAAAATATGTGTCAGATACTATGGTGTTCTTATTTTAAAAACAAGTGCAACAGCAATAGCTTCCCAGGATTTTGACTCTGCGCGTAAGATGTAGAACAACTGTGATAGATGGGGAGGGGCTCCTCTGCATCTGGATGGGGGCTTGGCTGGCTCTTTCAACTAATTCATACCCCAGAAACCAGATAGATATGGGACAGAACTATTAAGTCAAAGGATTTGAAAAATAAAAGGGACCTTAAAGATGTCTAGTTCAACTCCTTTTTACAGAGAGATGAAATGACCTGTTCCTAGTTCCCACACAGCTTGTTACGATAAGAAACCAGGTCCTCCCCAGCCAACGCTGAGAGCAAACACGCCTGGGCAGGCAGGAGGACCATCCACGGATCACATTTGTTTCCTTGGGTACCCATCAGACTAAAAGCACAGAAGAGGAAAATGCTGTCTTAGCCTCATGTGGCATTGTGTGATTACCTTCATTCTTGGAATGCTTGGACAGGGAGGGGGAAATCACATCTTGAGCTTGGGGAGTTCGTTTAATTTCTTTGCCTATAATACCCACACATATCTAAAACAACATAAACACTATCATCACACCCACACACACAATCAAAATCTGTATTGTCCACTTTTTTAGAATGTATGTATATTTGATTTTTATGTATTCATTTTGTAAAAACTTTCAAAATTAAAAAATATACAACATTATCCTGATTTTTTTCTTTTGCCAACTCTCTAACTGATTTTTTAAATATAAATTGGGCATAATTCAGGGAGGTTGACAAGGACAATCTTATTTGAAACAAAAACCCACATATTTTAAAATCAGCAGCCTGTGTAATATTACAGTATTGAGTGAAAATGTATTTTAGTTAGTTCTGGACTCTGGATTTTAATAAATTTACTGGAAAAGCTAATTTTATTTAAAGGCCTGCAATAATAGATAACAGTTATTAGTAAAGCAGATTAGCCACTTTACAATATAAAAATACCTAGAAGCAGTGATCCTGGTTTTTAATGAAATATTTATCAAGTTTAGGATTAAAATTAAATGCAAATCATCTTTAATTTGGTTAAATCAACCTGGGGTAAACAGGAAATAGACTCAAACTAAATTTTGTTCTGCTTTGTATAAAGTCAGATTGAGCCACCCTGGTGACAAGCTTAGAATAGAAACAGCATTATCCAGGTTCAAGAAAAATCTTTTGTTCCTTTATTGATCATTTTGTCTTTAGAAAAATGCAATTTAATTATTTTCTGTTCTAGTCAGAATTTAAAATTGACCTAAATTAGATAACTGAAAATTTTAGAATGATTAAGGTCAAAATGGTTAAAGCAGGTTCTTTAGAATGAATGAAATGAATTAAGGATTGGTTGGTCCTCTCACATGAATGAGTTAATAAATCTTTTATAATTTAAATTTAGATAAGCATTTTTCTCAGTGCAATTATTTTTCATGTGATTCTAATAAGGCATTTTAAGAATAAGATATTAGTTAAGAAAAAGAAGGAAATCTATTAAATAGATCTCTAAGCTTTCATTAAACATCTTTTCCCACCTCCCTACCCCCTGGTGTCAGGACCATTTACTTCCTTATATAGAGTTTCTGCGCAGAGGGTCCCAAGCTAGGACATTTTGGATTCTGTGAAAGAAGGCTGACCCCCACTTGGTGAGTGGGTAATGTGGGATACAATAGAAACAAAAACTAATGGCAGACAACACAAAATAAAAATGACACAACCATTCTAAG